TGGCACTTCTCCCAACTGAGTGCCAAATTAGTCTCCTCGCACCTCTTCAGGACAAGTTCCATGTTATGGAGGTAATGAGTGAAGTAGTCTCCATAAACTGAGAATTCGTCCTTGAAGACTTCCATAATCTCTCCAACCAGTCGGTCGAAGATCGCCAGCATACGCCGCTGGAAGGTCGCCAGTGCATTACATAGCTCGAATGGAATCCTCCGGTAAGCAAAAGTACCGAAGGGGCAAGTATATGTGGTCTTCTGATCCTCTGGCGCGATGGGAATTTGGAAGTATCCAGACATGCCATCCAGGAAGCAGTAGAACTCATGGCCAGCCAACCTCTCCAGCATCTGATCAATGAATTCTAGGGGGAAATGGTCCTTCCTGGTGGCATCGTTCAGGCACCGGTAATCGATGCTGACTCTCCGGCCAGTCACAATCCGCATTGGGATCAGCTCGTTCTTCTCATTTAGGACCACAGTCATCCCACCTTTCTTTGGGACCACCTGGGTGGGACTGACCCACTTGCTATCAGATATAGATGATCCCTACATCCATCAAATTCACGATCTCTGCCCAGACCACTGCCTCAAAGTTACGAGTCAATCTCCGCTGCGGCTGCCTGACTGGCTTAACCTCATCCTCCATCAGAATTATGTGGGGGAAGAAGGATGGGCTAATGCCTCTTATGTGAGTTATCTTCCATGCCATGGCCCGGACTTACTTCTTCAATAGAGCCACCAGCCATCTTTTCAGCTCGGGTGTCAGATCCGAACTGATAATGACCGGGAGCTTATTCCCCTCCCGGAGAAATGCATACTCCAGGTGAGAGGGGAGGGGCTTAAGCTCCCGCTATGGCGACTCCTCCAATGATGTGGCAATCCGGGGTGAGATAGAGATCGACTGGAATGTCTTCTCTCACCCCTCGATCGCAGCTCCCTCTAGCTCTGCGAGCTGCTCCTCCAGCTGCAACTCCTGCGATGCTTGTTCCCCTAGCAAAAGACAACGCTCGAGGAAATCATTAGTAACCACACTCGTGATGGCGAGTGCGGTTTCAAAATCAGCAATAATATCGCAGTAATCTACATCATCATGGAGCTGGGGGTGTTTCATATTATCAGAAACAGAGAAAGTGATTTGTTCACCCCCATCCCTCAAAATCATCTTTCCATCATTCACATCAATGAGCGCCTTGGCGGTGGAGAGAAAAGGTCTACCCTGAATTAAAGGCACATTCACATCCTCATTTATATCAAGAATAACAAAATCAATAGGATATGAGAATGGCCCTACTGCGACTATCAAGTCCTCTATAATAACCCTAAGATGCACAATGGACCTATCGGCTAATTGAATGCTCATCCTAGTGTTACTAGGTTCACATAGGCCAAGCTTTTTAAACATTTTATATGGCATTACGTTTATGCTAGCGCCCAAATCTGCCAAGGAATTCCCTACATGCAAACTACCAATCATGCAAGAGATAGTAAAACTCCCTGGGTCTTTTCGTTTCTCTGGTAGCTTGTTCTGCAGGATGGCAAAACACTCCTCGTTGAGCATCACTGTCGATAGCTCCCAAGCTTCATCTTGTTGGTGAGGAGATCCTTCATGAATTTAACATACTTGGGCATATTCGACAATGCCTCCATGAAAGGCATACTGATGTTCACCTACTTCAGCATTGCCATAAACTTGGCAAACTCAGTCTCCAGTCGGTCTTTGTGCAACCGAGTATGAAAGGGAAGTTGAGGGACATTGACACGGTAAAACACAACACCTAACAATGGCCAAGTGTAACCAATGAAAGGGACTGCAGTATAGTGGCACAAGTAATAAATATCGAATCCACGGGTCTCTAGAGTTACTATTACTCAGCTTCAGTTCATTATCTAGCAAACTAGACTAAGGATTGAGTAACTAAACTACTCTACTAACTAAACTAGGTAAAACTAGTAATTACAGTTTGGGAACTCACTTAGGTATGATTCCCCCTAGCTCCTCAATTAGGTCCAAGTTGCAATTACCTTTGTTTGATCTACTGTTGATTAAACTGCGGAAGATCCTAAATTAGCTTGGAATCTCTTAAGCTGACCAAACCCTCTCAGTCCAACTACCCGGCAGACGACTAGTCTTCACCAGAATAGAAAGCTGAGACTATGAACATAGAACTCCACTACTGGAATGAATTCCAGTACAAAGCAGTGAATTGATTGACTCTCGCACAACCAATTCACCACTATCATTCAAGGAAGCTCTCTTAACCTAATCAGATTCTATCTATCATAGGTTAAAGCAGAAATCAAGAGAATTTGATCAAGATTCAATTGACTCAACAAATCATGCCTCAATCGATTATAATCAAACAATATAGCATCCAAAACTTCATACAAGAAAGATCCTAACACATGGAACTAGGGTTCCTCAAAACCTAAGTGAAGGGAAGTTACTCCATAGAGAAGAGAGAGACTGCAGAAATCTGATCTAGATCTTCAATCTCCATCTCCAAGCTTGATTCCCGAGCTCCAATGGCGAAGAAATCCTCCAAAGTAGCTCCAAGAATGTTCCCAAGTCGCTCTCTCTCTAGGGTTCGTCCCTTGGGTGTTTGGGATCCAAAACCCAGCTCTCTCCCTTTCCTTTTGCTGAAAATCGGGTTTTAACCAGCAATTCCCGACTCACACGGCCAGGCCACACGGCCGTGTGGCTTTCCCAGCTGCCCGTGTGACCTGAAATATCATAAACAAGAACACCCTAGCGTGAAATCGGCTTAAAACACCAGAAATGAGGCTCGAATAGTGTAAGAATGATGGACAAAAACATGTGCAAATATCGAGTTATCAAACACCAATTTGGGCGGATTTTTTCTTGTCCATTTTTTGCATATTCCAAAGAGGTAACATCTAAATGTTCACACAATTTTTTTGAAATGTCATTTTCCTTAGATTTTGAAGGCTATAGATCACGGATTCGCCCTGAGGCTATTCTCCACCGATGATGTCTATTAATTGCTGATTTGGGCATATTTTTCTTAAGGGCATTTTTGTTATTTTATTGGTGATTTTTTGCCAAATATAATTTTCCTTGGATTTTGGAATGTTACAGATCATGAATTCACTCTAAGGCTATTCTTCACCGATGATTAACTATATTAAGCAACAATTTGGAAAGATTTTTTTGGGCCCATTTTTGGGAGATTCCAAAGGGGTACATCACAGATTTCGGGGAATTTTTTTGAGAGGCTATTTTCTTTGGATTCTGAAGGCTATAGATCACAGATTCGACCTAAGGTATTTCTCCACCGATGATGAAGTCTATTAATTGCATATTTTGGCAGATTTTTTTTGGAAGGCATTTTCGTAATTATTTTGAGCAAGTTTTTGAAAGACCATTTTCCTTGTATTTTGAAAGCTACATATCACGAATTTGGCTTGAGACTATTATTCACCGCCGATTAAGTCTACTAAGCATCGATTGTTTTGGATGATATTTTTCATAATTTTTGGGTGATTTTTTCGAAAGGCCATTTTCATTGGATTTTGAATGCTACGGATCATGGATTCGGCATGAGGTTATTCTTCACCGATGATTAAGTTTATTAAGCAGTGATTTAAGCTGATTTTTTCCAGATCCATTTTTGGCAAATTCGAAATGGGTACTATTAGGAGTGTTCAAAGGGTTACCATGGTAATTACTATACCAAATAAGTCTAAATTCTATTAATCATGGAAAATTATATCATAACCAAACCGTCCAAACTAATACAACAACCAAATTAACCACACTAAAGTTTAATCGGTTTGGTTAATTGCTAACCAAAATAACCAATATACCATGACATTATCATTAAGTGAGAAAAATATCTGGTTAGTGCATCAATTCACAATTTATATAATCAATAACACATAACAATCAACACAAAATTATAGTTAACCATTAACATAAATACATGTAATTAATACAATTATCTTACATTTGACTCTTGAGTGGTTATGCAAAGTATTAAGTATGTATATATAATATATTAGATATAGAGCTAATTACTTAACTGGTTAATTTGGTTTGATTGGTTAGGAGTGTCTGAAACCAAACCAAACCACCAAAACAAAACAAGCTAAAAAATTTAACCAAACCAAACCAATTATCCCAATTAACCAAACCAAATTATCCAAATACTACCGGTTAAAACGGTGACCACGGTAACCACACCTTTTGAACACCCCTAGGTACCAACCATCACAGATTTCAGGGAATTTTTTTGAAATGTCATTTTCCTTGAATTTTGAAAAATACATATCACGAATTTGATCTGAGGCTATTCTCCACCAATGAGGCAATGATGAAGTCTATTAATAGCCAATTTGGACGGATATTTTTTTAAGATGGTATTTTTCTATTTTTTATGATTTTATCAAAAAGTTATTTTCTTTGGATTTTGATGGCTACACAGATCACGAATTTGGCCTGATTCTATTCTTTACCGATTATTAAATCTATTGTGCAACGATTTGGGCAAATTTTTCCGTGTCCATTTTTGGCAGATTTCAAAGGGGGTACCATCAAAGATTTCAAACGACTTTTCAAAAAGATTTAATTAAAGGATTTTGAATGCAACAGATCATGGATTCGACCTGAGGCTATTCTTCACCAATGATAATGTTTATTAATCGCCGATTTGGACATACTTTTTCCAAAGAGCATTTTCAAAATTTTTGGGTAATTTTATTGAAATGTCAATTTTCTATGATTAGGCTAGGCATGGCCCATGGGTTGTTACCCGCCTTGCCATGTTGTGTACTTTTGCTCCATGTATGCAACTATGTGTTGTGAAGTACAAATATGGAACCATATTTTAGTTACCGAAGGTCAGACCCATGTTATGGAAGGCTGGAAGCACAGTGCTTTCCATGGATTGATTCAACATTTTAACGAGTTTTTGCTTGCAGTCCGATCCGTTCTGGATCTAGGAAGCAAGACAGAAATAAAAGGAGAAAATAGAGCAGACACAACAAGAAACACAATGTAACTCTTAAATTTGTAGTTTGAATGCATGCAAACAAGAAGTTGATACGACTTTGACATTAGTGCATGATTGAACAGAAAGTTATAGATGGCTTAGTTCAAAAGAGCAATCGAGCCTAGGCATATAGTTAGAGCAAGAAGTAGAGAAAAGAGGGTGACAGAGATTGGAACTCGTCCATGATCCGTCCTCCATAAAATACCCTCAATCACAGGCATGCTCATTACGAAGATGTAAACAGAAAGTAGCACTTGTCCACACATCTGCTTCCAGCTTCCAACGAAGATAGATATCCTAGCAACTCCTCCAAAGAGTGCAAGAGCATTCAAAACCACTAAAGTGACAATCGGAGTAAGGAACATGGGTGATGTGTTGAAGTTTAGCTTTCCCATTTTGTATAATTTGACCTCTTCATCATCAACAACCTTGCTTGTTGGAATGAAACTTGCTTTTCTTGCCCCAACGGATTTCAGGATGGCGTCCAAACAACCGTACGTGTAAGCTGTAACTGACTTAATCATCCATAATTTTTGTTCGTTCCACCATGTCTGGATTGAGCCTCCTGTTACTAGGACATCTCTCAAGTGCCCCAAGGAAGAAGATATAAATATTAAGGCAAAGACCATGAACCATGGAGACGATACCTATTCCATAGATAAACACAGTAAAGGTCAGACCCAATCGCCATTAGTTGAAAAAAGCATTAGAAGGCAAGAAATTGGTACTTATGGAGGCAAGAGTTTAGCTATCCTTACACTGGGGTACAACGATTTGCCATTTAGGAGAAAGAGTTGAGGCAAGGTAGACAAACACCAAACTGGGAAGGAATACAGTGGCTGGAGGGCACAATACCCATAGCACAAGGTCTGGAGCAGCGACATCTTTTGACTCATCCCATAGATTAAAGGAGAAAACTTTGAGAGCACGACCTCGAACAACCCACTATTCCATCGACTGTTTTGAACTAATGTGTCGTTCAAGTTTGTGGGACTGCTGCCCAAGAATGCAGGTGTTGAAGGAGTACAGTACACAGAAGTCCAACCTTTGCAATGTAGCATGAATCCTGTGAAGTAATCCTCCACTACAGACTCGTATCGAAATCCTATCTGGTCCAAGTTCCAATAGAATGCAGGATTTAGAGAATTATATACAGTACAATAATAAACTGAAAGCCAGGATATTTGTACTATTCTCTTCTTACCTCTTTGCCCCATGAAGTCTCTCTCTCGTAGGAGCATTGGGCAAGGAAATGGGCTTCTTCTAGGAGGTCGATTGGCACCTCTGCTCCATGAAAGAGATTATGTCGATTGCTTTGTTTAACAAACGAGATAAAGTCATTTGAATCCCCAAAACATTGCTTCAATTGTGGGATATCTGCACCAAGTAGGAGTAATGGACATTCAACTAATGATATGCATTTTGGAAAACATAATCTCATTAAGAGCCATAGCTCTCAGAGTTTGAGCCCTTGGACAGTAATAGGCTACTTAAGCGTTAAGGCGGCTCAACAGATAATTAGTAGAGAAACAGTTATGGCTGCCATAATTCCAGCCCTTAGGCATATTAACAACCATCATCCTTGTCTTCTATTCTTGTCAGACGGACTAGTTCCTAGAATCCTGTTTAACATAATAATCAAATTATGTCACCAGTAGTTTTTACCTTTCTTTGAAACATTGCCATATAGTGCCTCTCTCTTGATATAGAATCCAGAGCCAGATAAAATTGGTCCCTGAACCCCATCCATTCCAGGCCATCTCACCTAAAACAGAATTCACAACCAACTCATTTCCTCAACAAATCTATTCACCCAAGTGTAGACATAAAGCCATCAAGGGATTACATCACCTACCACGAACAACGTCCTCATCTGGCCATCATAGATATCATTCTCGCTTAAGCTGTGAAATTTCTGAGGGAACTGAACGAAAGCCAACTTATGTGAAATCTCAGGATCAAGGTGGAAGCACATTGCCTGTTTAGCAGATGTTGGGTCATTGCAATACATGTCACAATCCAGAACCAGTACATATGGGGAGTTGGTCATGATCCCGGAAACCCTAAGCTGCAAAAGGGGGAAGACAAAATCTCATTTCAGCATTAATCAGTTCCAAATAGAAGAATAAAATTAGGCAACCAAGTTGCAGGGTATCGTACAAGAACATTGAGTGCTCCTGCTTTGAAATGGTGAGGCGAGGAAGGCCTTTTCTCCCGAGCAACATAGACGAGCAGAGGGCACTTGACTCGGCTGGTTTCGTATTCATCATCGCCGGAATCGTCCTGTATCACCTGCAAATAGATTCAGAGTTAAGAGTCAAAAGCAACCAAAGCCAAAAGCCAACTTCCGTTCTTGACAAAATAACTTCGTACCTCAATCGTCGGAGAATGATCACGGGGGTTGAAGGTGGCAATTGTTGCAGCGCCGTTTTCGACTGCCTTGGCCACGCTGCATTTGAACTCTTCGTATTTCGCCTGCACTTCACATGAGTAAAGTTGTTAATCAATCTAAGGCATGAACACTCGATGTTGAATTCAATAAAAAAATTGTTTGGTTAAGAAAAAGCTCGACTTATCTATTAACAAACAGAGTTTGAGCTGAACGTTGTTTAGAAAGTAGAGCTCGTGAACCAGCTTGTGAGTGAGCTTAATTAGGTGGCTTGCTGAGCTCAATTCGTGAACTCTCTTGTTTTTAGCTTATTAGATTTCTCAACATTGGGATTTAGTGAGCCAACTTAATTATCGACTTAATGAGAAGACGATCTATTTCTTATAAAAGTTGACTTGTTGATAATTCACAGGTTTATTAAATTGTATATCTTACATATTTAATATTTTAAGTATGTCTGCAAATATTTCCCATATATGACAAGAAATTAGTTAATCATTAATCATATGCATATATCACATATAAATACTATGATTTAATTTATAAATTATCATGAACTCGAACTCCTAATCTTAATTATGAGTCAAGTAAAACAAATGAGCCGGCTCGAGCTCAACCCAACTTATTTATAAATGAGCCAATCTTGAGGTTGGCTAGTTTATTAATGAGTCAAATCTAAACAAGGCAAAACTGGCCCCACTAAGCCCGAGTATAGAACCTTTGTCTTTTTCCAATTCACCCACAAATATATTACATATTACCCATTACATACCTCAACTTTCATCTTCTCCACTTCAAAGCACTCCAAACTCTTACCGCCACCATCCCCCTCCTTCTCCGGGCGCCCTGAAAAGTAAGCCCTGGGACATCGACACTCGATCCCAAACCTCTGGCAAAACGGAACCCAACACCTCGCAAACCTCCGGGCAGCCTTCAAGCTGCTCAATGTCACAATCGACCCCCCATCGTCGGAGACATAAACAGAGAGCTTCCCCGGCGGGTAATCCAGAGCCATCGCCGACACCACGGTGTTCATCACCTCCCAGGGCGGCTCCTTCTCCGGATCCGTGGTGCATACGAACACATCGATCGGAGGAAGCGCGGCCTCCTCGCGGGGAAGCCTGTCGGGGAAAGTGGTTCGGAAAACAGGGCGCCATAGGAAAGCTTGGTAGCAGAGCCAGATGGTCGAGAGGATCAGCTCGGCGGCCAAGATTGGGAACAGGGAGAAGAGAGAGGAAGGTGTGGCGGCGGTGGTGATTTCGGAGAGGCGGTAGTAGAGCAAGGCGAAGATGGATGTAAGGTGGAGGAGGGACTGGAAGCGGTTGATTGTGGCACGAGATGTGTGGACGGTGGAGATGTGGAGAGGAAGAGACGACGGTGATGAGGCTGAATTCATCGGTGCGATTGTCAGTCAGTCTTCAGCTGCTGAATTGGAGGCAAAGCAGCAGTACTGTTAAGAGTTGAAGGAAGGTAGTGTTGTTTGTTAAGCAATTGCGGCTGGATTTTTTGTGGCTAGCGTTCGGCTTGTCGTCGCTCAATAATGGGATGAATGGGGAATCTTTGAAAAGGGCTGCGATTTTGTCCTAACAGTCAAACCACGGCCACGAGGGAGGAGACAGGAGACGTCAGCAGTTACGCACGCACTCCGGCTAGAGTATTGGGATGTGAACCCCGGTCTATGGTGTTCGGATTCGGAGACCAAATCCTGAGAACGTGTTTGATGTTGTTGATCAATTGATCACTCGTGCTCTATTCAATTACATCAGACGGTTGTGAAAAATGTATTTTTCATTATTGACCCGTAAGCTTTTTAGAAAATCCTTGAGATGCAAACAAAATTTTGTGTTATAATAGTGAAGAATGCATTAATATACTGAAATAAAAGTACGAAAATTAATAGTACAGAACCATGTACTTCACAAGAAGTAATTGTCCACAACTGAAATTGATTTGTTAATTAAAAAAAAAACAGAAGAATAAGATTGGCTCATCTTAAGATCCACCCTATTGAAAATGCAGCGTTAATTGTTGATATATGGAGTATGATTGTTTACGAAAAGTTTGGTTGTCCAACTCTACTCGCGTTTGACTCGTCAATTAGCTCAAGAGATCGCTCGAGCTCATGTAACTTACCATTTAGCTCTTAATTCTTAATTGTTCATATAATATTATTTAATAGTAATTAGTATATGATAAATTTATAGTACATGATTTTTCTTTTAAATCTTAAAATATATTAAAGCACTTTTAAAAACAGACCCCATCCATGTCAGCAGCGGAATCACCACCGCAAACTTCGGACTTGCACTATTTTTTTTTTTTTTTTTTTTGCCGACTTTCTATATAAAATTGGCTTTTGAATATATGTATTGTTTTCACAGAGTTTTTTTTTTTTGTGTTATGGAGGACGTACTTTGTAGTACAATTGCTTAATTGGAGTTCTTACGATACAATAAATCTTCTTAATTCATTTTAATCGGTTTCATAAATAAAGTAATATTTTTTATATGATATTCAGTTGTTTAATAAAAAATATTCAGAATATATATAAAAAAAATTTATTGCCCAGATATTAGAAATTTTAAATGCATACAAAATATAACATTTATGACAAGATCATGAATTCATGATAAATCTTCTCTAAAATTTATAGATAGGAAGATTTAAGTTTTCATTAATGCCATCAACTATATAATTGAGATGTTTATTGCTATTTTTAAATTAAAATCCGACAAAAATCAACAATAAATACATAGTTTAGATGTTAACACCAACATCCCCAAAACCATATTGTACTGGCGATCTGATATGAAAATTCGTCGATCGAATCTGAAGTTTATAAATAATTTTACTAGTATGAAATAATTGAACCACAATTTAAGTATAAAATACTTTGTCGCCAACATTTTCAGCACAACTTTTGATATAATTTTACAATCTTTGATTAATTCACATATATAAAAATTATATTGTAAACAATAAATTCCACCTGCCCAAAGGGCAGGGCATAAGCTAGTTATTAATGAGACATATTTGATCACCTACTCAAATTCTTAAGCATCATATGTGGAGATACATAATCTAACAAACCAATGAATTATCAACAAGCTAGTGATAAAATTTTAATCGATTCACTTATCAGTTGCTGATTAAGGTGGCTCGCTAGTCATACTGTCGAGCTAGTTCATAGCTCAAAATGAGCTAGCTTATGAGTTGACCTCAACAGGTCATCGAGTCGAGCTCACTCATGAATCTTGCGAGCCGAACAAAGTTTAATTGAAACTCAATTCATTAGTAAATTAGGCAGATGTTCAATAAAAATTTTCGGCTAAATTGCCAGTTTGGTCACTAGAATTACTTAACAAGTTCATGTTTGCCACTGAAATCAATTTATTCCATCCGTAGCCACTTAAATTAGGTTAACAGTTCAAGTTTTGTCCCTGGCTGTTAGTCTTGGTTAGCTTTTGATGATGTGGCAGTCAACTCTTATAGTTGACCGTTATATTAATGACGTGGCAATGAAAAAATGAAAAAATAATTATTTTTTTATTTTCCAGCTGATTCGGGCCCAAATGTACACATTTTACCCCTCATTTCTTATTCATTTAGCTTAGCATTTCATCATTCCTCGACATATTTCACACTAGGTTGTGCTTGTTTTGATACATTTCAGGTCCTAGCATGTGTGGAAGGGTCGAGGTCGAATTTTGGGATAATTGGAGGTCAAAAAGCACAAAAACTAAAGAAAAGTCTGAAGTCGTAGCAGTGAAGTGAAGGCGTCCCAGGAAATAGCCGCAGTTCACGGTCCCCTAAGACCGTGAACATCGAGCAGTCCAGCAAAGTTCGTGAAATTACTAGCGACAAGTCAGTTCACGGTCTCTAAGACCGTGAACTGGGGCCATTGACCGTGAACCCAGGCGAGTGAAGCGGTGCAAATGTGAACTGGTCACTTTCGGGCAAATATGAAGACACAATATGGAGAGAGAAAGGGGAGCTGGTTTTTGAGAGAAGAAACACTTTCTTTCTCTAGGGTTTCCAACCTAAACACCAAAGGGGAATTCTAGTGAGAGAGTGATAGAATGATCTTGGAGCATCATTGGAAGCTTGGGTGGAAGATTCAAGCCTAAAAGAAGAATAAGATCTTGAGCTCAAATTTGTACTCCCTCTCTCTCTCTCTCTCTCTAGAAACTCACTCTTTTCTCTTGGGTGTTGTAGATCCCTAACTAATACTTTGTAGTTACTTGTTTAGATTGAATGATTGTCATTGGGTATTGTTCAATTCAATGATTGAGGCATTAGTTATCATGATTGTGCATGCTTGTTCTTAGCAACCTAGGGGTTGTGCATGTTTTGTGCTTAGCACCCTTAGGTTTGTGCATGTAGGTGCTAGCAATCTAATTAGCCACTTAGCCTAGCTTAGAGAGGAAAATCCCCCTTCCAAGGGAGACTCAATCGAGTTGGTTTTCCTTCTACTTTCTAAGCCACCTAAACTAGGTTAAGTTAGGGCAACCCTCAATATTGAGTTAAGCAAATCAATTAATCGTGATTAAGTCGTCTGACCTTAGAGTTGAGTGAGGGAGTAAGCCGATTACCGATTGTCTAAACCGAGACGGTCGAGTGACACGGCCTTTCATCCTCACCTCAGTTTAGCAATTGAGACTGTGGTCTCTGACCACATATGCTTTCCTCTACGCTTCGCGATTATCATGCCCAAACCAATCGTTCCAATCGATCGAGTCTCGGTATCTAGTTAGGGGGAAGCAACTCCTGGGTCAAGCTCCCTTAGTTAAATTTTCCTTTATTTACCTTTCTTTGCTTGGTTAGTTTGTAGTTCCAATAATCCTAAACCAAAAACCGTTTTGCTAGATAACAACTTAAGCGATTGAAGTAGAGGTACATGGACCGGCCCGAGTCAATATTTAAATACTTGCTCTATACTGCACCCGGCTAGAGTTTAAAACCTTGGACTCTAGTCGGGATTAGTTTGTGGCGTAGTTTCGTGCGAGTCACCAGCTAATTATTATAAATTGAAAAAAGAAAATCCTAAACTGTGCCCTTCATCCACGGCAAAGACGCAACACTTGTGCTTCCTGAACTGCCCCATCATTAGAAACCACAGAATCCACCGAACAAGTGCTGAAAGCACACGACAGCGCCTACGCTTCGAGACCTTCCGGCCTCGCCCAGAACATCATCTTCTGCGGCTGCAAGGACCTAGTCTTTGTTAGAAACCGAACAGTAAAATTAGGGTTACCGACCATTTTGATGATGATGATGATGATGTAGCCAGAGAAGATCTTGTAGATTGATAGCGTCGTATTTGCACATGTTTTCACTCTTGTTGCCTGACCATTTTAGCTCGAATTTGTTGTTCCTTGGCCTATTTTACGCTAGGTTGTGTTGTTTTGTCATATTTCAGGTCCTAGCAAGTAAAGGGGTGCATAAGCGTAAGTTTCGGGTCATTTGGAGGTCAATTGACGATTCAAGATGCAAATTACGGGCATCCCCTGCACAATTACGGGCGTAATTGCTTCTGTCATGCCCGTAAATGCAATGTCGAGCCAAAATCCCTGAGAATTCCTGTCGCAGAGCGAATTACGGGCAAGAGTGGACTCATATACGGTCATAATTCCACAAATACTGCCAGTAATTGGGTAATTACGACCATAATTCCCTTCCTCAGAGTTAAGTGAAACGCGCGTTTTGGGTGAATTACGGGCAGACCATGATTACGACCGTAATTCAGCCCGTATTTCGCCCAGAATCGGGTTTTTGAGGCAGTTGGAGCCAAAGGAGAGGTGGTCGACTTTTTGGAGCAAAAACAGAGTTTTAGAGAGAGAAAGTGCGAAGCAAAAACCCTATGAGCTATTTGGAGTGGATTTCTCACCATTGAAGCCCAAATTGCATCCCCAGGAATGAAGATCATCATCCCGGAGCAGATTATCCTCATTGTTATGAGTATGACTACTCTGATTTCTGTTTTCCTCTCTCTCTCTCTCAATGGAGTAGAACTTTCTTTCACTTGGGTATGAAGAACCCTAGTTCCATGTGTTAGGAATCTTGTTTGTAATGACTTGGGATTGTTATACTGTTTGATTTTAATCGATTAATGCATGGTTCATTGAGTCAATTGAAGTCTGATCATCTTTTCTTGATTTCTGCTGCAACCTGAGATAGATAGAATCTAATTAGGTTGTTAGAGCTTCCAATCGGTAGTGGTAGATTGGTTATACGAGAGTTAATCGATTTACTGCTTTGTACTGGAACCCAATTCCAATAGTGGAGTTCTGTGCTTATAGCCTCAGTAGTCTATCCCGGTGAAGGTTAGTCGCATGCCGGTTAGCCTGCCTGAGAGGGCTTGGTCATTAAGAGATTCCAAGCTACTGTCGAATCTTC